AGAACACCAAAAGCAATTTGAGAACACTCATAGCCATCATACTGTTCTCATGAGAACAGTAATTGAGTCTGAAATTTCGAACACTGACTACAATACCTTAGGATACTAATAAACAGTAAAGGCTGAATTAAAAAAAAAAAAAAAAAATACTAACCCTAACACTAACTCTAACACTGACCCTAATTATTCTAGAAATGCAATTATTATAGAGGTGCAATATATTGTATCCTGCATAAATTATAAACCCCAATAATTATTAATTAATATAATCTTTTGTAAACTTTCATAAGTTTATGAAGTTACAAAAAATATAAATCAAGATAATTCATTGTTTATAACTTTATAATTTGAATAGTGCTTTGAATATACATAATGTTTCAAAATATTTCATAGTATTAAAAAAAAATACTTTACAAGTTTCAAGCCATTTGTTTCAAGGTAACATCTTTAAAATGTTAAATCTTACTTGCTTTTTATAAATTTTTATATACTGATGTAAACTTTAGTAAGTTTTTACGATACGTAAGAAAATTATAAATTTACATAAAATTTAACATAAACTACATATTTTTATAGTACATAAGAAACTTGTAAATTTATATAAAAATTTTATATAAATTTATACTTTTCTTACTCACTATAAGAAAATTGTAAATTTATATAAAAATTTTATGTAAATTTACGATTTTCTTATGCACTATAAGACTTACAGTATGTAGTTTTACATTAAATTTTACATAAGTTTACAATTTTCTTACATGCCATAAAAAGTTTATGATGTAAATTACTAGAGTTTAAATAGTTGCATATATATAAAATATATACTAAACTAACCAGATTTGTCTCAGAGAATAAATTAGTCTTAAGGCATATACAAGTGAAACTAGATTATAATCAAAGGATTTAAATAGATAACCCTGTAGTTTGAGTTGCAAATATTGTAAAATCCTAAGTAGAATAGCTTAGATGTAAACTACTTAAATTAGATACCAAAAGTGCATGTGTGGTTTGATATACTCTCATTATAACTGAAGCAAAAATTTCTAATAAACGCAGCAAAATACTGGCCAAATAAAGTCACTATTAAAAAAAAAAAAAAAAATTAACTGTTTACAATATATATAAGTTATATGGTATATATGAGTGCCGTCAAGTGACCCAAAATCTGGCTTTCAATTATATTTTGTCTAAACTTTTAATTGACAACACCAAATTCGAGGTTTTCTCTTGACGGCACTCATAAATTATTATTATTATTATTATTTATTTTATTAGATAAACTTATAAAAACTAATTTTTTGTATAATATATAAAAAAATATCTAGATTTGGTTTATTGCCAAGGTTTTCTAATACTTTTAGTAAGCAATATCTTTGATAAATATTTTTTTTTACTTAAGAAAGGTTTTTAGCAAGTATTTAACTATTTTTATTAGAATCAAAAAATTTTGCTCTACAACTTTTTATTAAAATTTCAAACGATTTACTTAATAAATTATTTTTAACTTTAAAAAACCATTTTTTATTAGTTTCTAAGATATAATAAACTTGACTACTGAAAAAAAAGTATAACTATATAAATATCCACTATATAAGTAACGCCAAGAAAAAATAAAACCTCGATCATATAAATTTATATGATCGCCCACGTCGCCCATATATTATATACGATATAGTATATACAAATAAAAAATTGGGTAATTAAAATTCTAATTATAAATTTTTTTAAAACAACTACTAGTCAAAATTTAAAACTTTAAAACATTTAATAAAGCTACGATATAATTAACTCTTTAAATACAATTTAATATAATGAATTTTTTAAATACACAATACAAAAAGGTTGTTTATATAAATTACATTTAAAAGAGTTTAATAAGTTATAATAAAAATTATTTTTTTCCTAATAATAATAATAATAGTAAATTTTTGTTTATATGTTGCAGTTCATGTTGCGCAACATTTTAATTGTAATTGTTGAACATAATTGGAGATTTGGCAAATAAAATTATACTATCTATTAGAATTTGAACAATAAAAAAAAATATTTGATCACATAATAACGTATTGCCGAAAATTAAATGCAAATAGCTTGAACTTTAAATATTAAAATTGGTTGCGCCATCACTAAAGAAGACCAAAAATAAAACTAATTTGTAAGTGAATGCACTTTTACGTCCGGAAACAATAACTTATTAAAAATTAATATAACCGTTTTATACCTTTTTTTCTACTGACATTATGGTTGGATACATCTTTAATTCTGGTATTTCTGCATTCATATGGACTGGGCGAGCTTTTCTTTTAATTGCTGTTCGAGCAGAAACGTATAATAAGATGAACACACCAAAAGCGATAGGAATTAACCAATATAGAGGGCTTAAACGATAACTAGTTCCAAATGCAATGTTCAACGGTGGTATATAAACGATAAGCATGGTTAAAGCAAAACCAAGAAATAAGCCCATAAAGTTACGGGGGTTTGAGAACATGAATTTGCCAAATGGAAGACGATAACGGGCTTTGCACGCGAATAAATTAAACATTTGCTGAATCAAAATTGAGAGATAACATATAGATACAGCTTGTGCTAGTGCTTCTATTTGTTTTCCAGCATCTAATTCATATCCAATGCTAGTTGTATAAGTTTGAGCGTTGTTGGAGAAGTAATTATTTTGGGGTGACATTTGTTGCATATATCGCGCATCATATGGTGTAATTCCATGTTGATAAAGAACAACAAAATATGCAGTAATACAGCCAATAGCCTCTATAGTACCAATTTCCAAGTAAGCCCAACTCAATATATTACCATCGACCAACACTTCTCCATTAGAACCTTCAAACAATTCTGACCACCACGTACGAGTAAATGGTTTGCTTAGGTTTCTGAAAATTTGAGATATTTTAGAAGAAGTTACCGGCTGACCACTTTCAGGATCGGTAATAGATGGGGTGCGGCGAAGTGCACGAAGACGGGTCTTTTGAATTGAAGCTGGAGTTACAGGCTTTCGGGGTGGTAATCTCATGAGATCACTTTTACTTTCCGGCTTATCCCAAGCAAATGTCAATGCAATGAATAGTTCAAAACCCAAATCCACCAACAAAACAAGGATTGGAGTTAAAGGTAATGGAATAGGAACAATAACAAAAAGTAGAGAGACTATAACTTCTGGAGATGTATGTGAAATAGTGTATTGGATTGATTTCTTGAGATTAGTGAAAATGAGACGTCCTTCTTCTATTCCTTTTACCGTTGAAGCAAAATTATCGTCTAACAAAATCATGGCAGCTGCCTCCTTGGATACATCTGATCCTGATTTATTCATCGCAATACCTAAATCCGCCTTCTTCAAAGCTGGTGAATCGTTAACACCATCACCAGTAACTCCAACAATATGACCCATTGATTGCGCTCGTTTTACGATTTCAAGTTTATGACGGGGAGATGTACGGGCAAAAATAATTTCATCTTTAGAAAATATATTATCCCACTCTGCATCACTTAAAGAATCAATTTGTTCACCATGAATAACAATTGCATTATATTCATCATCTGTAATACTTTCAATAGGACGACCTGTTCTTTTGGCAACAAGAGCTTTGGTATCTTTAAGCATCAAATTTATCTTACGCGCTATAGCTTCAGCAGTTAATGGATGATCCCCTGTTACCATCATAACACGAATACCGGCGGTGCGACACTGACCAATAGCCTCTCGAACACCGTGCTTTGGAGGATCTTCAAGGGAAACCAATCCGACAAAACATAAATCATTTAGTGGATAATTCTTATCTTCTTTAATAAATTCATAATCTTCGGGATATTCATCACCAGGTAACAATAGTTGAGCAAAGGCCAGCACACGATGTCCCTTTGAAGCCATAAATTCATATGTTTCGTCATAACTTTGTTTGTGGTCGGAAGTTAAAGGAGTTATTCCTAATTCAGTTAAAATAGTGGAACAAAGTTTGAGAACGCGCTCAGGTGCACCCTTGATATATAAGGTTAAATAACCATTATCATGTTTTTTTTTATGAATTGTGAGTGCCCATTTGTTTTCTGAATTAAAAGGGATTTCAAAAACTTTTGGATTTTCATTTAAGAAGTCATCAAAATTTTCGATTTGACTGCTTGCAAAACGAACTAACCCAGATTCTGTAGCATCTGCAAGAATTTGACGCTCACTAACTGGAACATCAACACGATCAAATTTTGCACGAGAACAAAGTGAAGAAATGTGAATAATTTCTTGAACTCCGGGTGAATTTATATCAAAAAGGGACTCATTTTGCGCATTTCGAAGTGTACTACTTAAATTTAGTGAAGCCCAGATATAAGTCACTGTCATCTGATTACGAGTTAGTGTACCAGTTTTATCAGTAGCTAAAAGAGTAATAGCACCAAGAGTTTCCACACCCTGGAGATCTTTAACAAGTACATTTCGTGAAGCCATTCTTTTAGCGGCAATGGTTAAAAGTACAGTGACAGTGGCTGGTAAACCTTCAGGCACCCAGGAAACAAGTACAGAAATAGCAAAACTGATTGTGAGGGGAACATTATTTCCATTAACTTTTAGACCTACTCCGAAAAATATAATGGCGCTAATTATAGCAATTGTGGCTATTGTTTTCACAAAATTTTCAATTTCTTGTGCCAATGGAGACTTATTTTTTTCTTCAGAAGCGGTAAGACCAGCAATTTGACCCAATACTGTATGGTCACCAGTACGAATAACAATTCCATAGCCTTCACCCGATACAACCAGAGTACCATAAAAACATAAATTAGTAGCTTCAAATGGATTCTCATGTGTATTTTTATTGGTACGTTCCTGCGGCTCTGATTCACCTGTCAGTGAAGAGTTGTCCACTTTCATGTCTGTAGCTGCATAAATGAACAAATCAGCGGGAACTTTGTCGCCCATCTTTATGAAAACAACATCACCTTGAACAAGGTTAGAGGCTTCAATATGTGTGAGTTTCCCTTCTCTAATCATGTGACATTTTTGTGGGATCAAGTTTAAAAATGACTCAAGAATTGCAGCAGATTTTTGTAATTGATAAAATTCAATGAACGCGTTTAAAAAAGCGACACCTATTAAAACAGCTCCAAGATAGCTCTTCACATTTATAGTGTCCAAAAGAGTAAATGACAATAATTTAGCGTCACTGAGTTTTTACAGTAATAAAGTTCTTTTAAATGACTTACCATAGATTGATTATCAACCGGATCTATACCAAATAAAATATACATAAGAATACCAGCGATAATTAATAGGATATTGAAAAGAGAAGAAAGGCATTCCAGATATTTTATGATAGGATGTTTTTTTTTTGGAGGTGTAAGAACGTTGGGTCCATTTTGATTCAATAAATCACGAGCATGATTCTCATTTAAACCACGAGAATCTGATGGTTTAACAGTATTTATATTTACGTGATAACGCTCGGCGACCACATCTGGTGAGAACATATGTTCATCCTGAGTCGTAAAAATATTTAATATTTTAATATTAGAATATTATAGTGACAGGATTAGTAAATATGATTTTAAATTTTAACTTACAATGTCGACCTGCTTCTTTTGCTGTGAATCACTTTTGGTTTTCTCGTTATCACTTTTTGTTTTCTCGTTAGCGTCACGAGTAGGTTTTTGGTCCACAAAAGGTTTTTGGTCCGCAAATTGAATTTTGGGCACCGTTTCAATTCGATCCTCTTGAGCAGCTAAAATAAGTTTAATTTTATTTTAAATTTATGCTTTTCGCCTTCAAAACATTTAAACTTGCGATATTCTTTATGAAGGACAGAACTTACGCTCGATTGAATTTTCGACTGCCTGAGAAGTTGACCCTTCCTGAATTCCATCTTTGGACGCCATTATTGTGAAATGACAAACTGAATATTGTAAATGTTGTATAGGAGAAGTTAATGAGGCCAAATATTTTATTTAGCAAGATACTATCCTACTAATAAATTAAAGTGTGCGAAGGGCGCGCACTTTTTGAGCAAGAAAGGGACAGAGAGAGCTCTTGCAGATATATAAACTGTACGTTGATCATTTTTGATTATCTAGATACGCACAACAAAATTTACCGTTACGTATTTATTCCTTTAGATGACTAGTGTTATAGTCGATCTAGTCGATTTTTTCAGCGACTGAGAGAAATCAGACCATGTGACCAATGACCTAACTATTTGTAAATAATTTAGTGAATTAAAAAGCGAACGAAAAATTGAACTTTATTCTTTATGGAATTTTACTATGGCGCATTATTAAGTAAGATTGGTAACATGTTAACATGTGGGGCCAAAACTGCCCCATAAACAAAGGAAAGTACGGATTACACGCACAGATTTTTTAAGGATCGAAATATATCATAACTTACCCAATAAGATGAGTGACACTAAGAAACCTGTATATTAAACCAAGTATATTATAAATTGAGAACAAGAATTTTTTAATACGTACGATTTGAATCTGTTCGTTTAAATGATTCATGTTCAATTACAGGATTTAAGATGATTTACAGGTTTTATTATTCATATATGAAAATCTATAATTAAACAATGAATTTTGACAGTAGAGCAAAATTTAATTGAATTGTGATTTACGCCAAGAAAAAAACATTTGCCAGATCATAATTTTGGGTTAACCTGATTTGACTATTGACTATTTTGCCGTTTACCATTTAAACCAACTATTTATAATTCTGGAGATCATTTGACCAGAGTTATGAATAGTCAATTAGATTACAATCAATATTAGCCATAATGCTAACAGTAATCTAAATAAAAAAAAGTCAACAAAACCTAATGTTTGCAAGATTAATATTGGTAATAATATCCTGAGCCGTTGAGTATTACAGTATTACAGTATTAGTGGAATCGAACACATACGGATCAGGTATTTTTACTAAATACCCCATGATCAGGGTATGACTATAATATACTGTATATTTAATAATTACTATAATTACTCCACAAGTTTCTAAAAATGGTTGTTTATTATTTTTTGTAAACCGGAAAAGCGTTTTTGAAAGCTTTTTTGATCAGTAGCAGAGCCGGAGATTTCCGTTTACACCTGAAAAAAATTAGCCAAATGATTTTTCGGTCAATTCAGTTAAGTTAGCATTATCAGTATATAAAAGATAATATATGGTCATTGGATGCGAAGCAATTAATATATGAGTGCTACAGATCAAACCCCGAAAAACACAATATAATTTATGTTGTGCTTAATTTAAATTTATCAGGAGTAGGATCAGAAAGTGAAGCCGGCAAAAACCGAAATTCCAGGTTTTCGCTTTGCAACACGCATATGGTTATTGGATGCATAACGAAAAAAGAATTCATTATTTGGCTGTGAAATTTAATATGTCAGCTTCTGGGCTCTGAAAGGCTAGATATTAAACTCGCTGCCAGATAACAATTATTGGCTGCGTAGCATACGGTGTTATCCGGTGATTTACTACGATTGTGCTTGAGTTTTTTTGGCAGTGATTATGTAAGCTGTCAAATTATGTAATGCTGTAATGGTGAAATTCATTTAATTCATTTTTAATAGATTATTAAATACAGCTATTGTATTTGATTTAGTTTTAATCAATTTTTGATATAATTTTACGTACGTACGTATTAAAAAACTATCAAATAATTTCAACAATTTCGACAAAAATTTTTTATTAAGGATAATTTCACCGCCATCTATAGACGTAATCACTGCTAAATTATCATAGTAAGCTAGGGGTAGTGCTTGGATCCGTTGAAAAATCCGTTGGATAATCCGATGGATATCCGACTGTTTTAATCCGGTGGATATTTTT